CTTCTTCTTCTTCTTCTTCTTCTTCTTCTTCTTCTTCTTCTTCTTCTCCTCCTCCTCCTCCTCCTCCTCCTCCTCCTCCTCCTCCTCCTCCTCCTCCTCCTCCTCCTCCTCCTCCTCCTCCTCCTCCCCCTTCCCCTTCTTCTTCTCCTTCTCCTTCCCTCTCTGACTCAACAGGACACCAGCCATGATTGGGTGTTCGTTTGTGGTGGATCGAGAGTACTTTGGAGAGATTGGCCTGCTTGATCCGGGCATGGAGGTTTACGGAGGAGAAAACATTGAACTCGGTATGAGGGTGAGTTGTATGTCCCTTGCCTTCATGAATTGATGTTTAGGGAAGATATGAAGAAATGAGCTTTCCCCTGTTGATATGGTCATCATCAACAGCCTTAGCCCTTCCCTTGCTACTGTGTTTCCCTGAAAATAAGACCCTGTCTTACAATTTTTTTTGCCACCAAAAAAGGCACCAGGTCTTATTTTGGGGGGATGCCATCCACTGACTAACCTCGCCTGCGTGTGTCACCCTGGCCTCCTTTTCGTTGTCAGCAGCCTTCAGGAATTTCTTCTTCTGCAGCCGGCAAGGCTTCCCTGAAGGCTGCTGCAGTCGATAACAACTCTGGATCGATCCAGAGCTTTCTTATCAGCTACAGAGGCCTTCAGGAAAGCCTTGCCAGCTGCAGAAGAAATGGGCCGGCAAGGCAGGTGTCGGGGTGTGCGAGGCCTGGCTACAACTGTCCAAAGGTAAGTAGTAGGAGAGCTCCACCAGCCCCCAGCCCCACCCTAGCTGAATTTTTACCTGTGCATCCTGTAGTCGATGGGGTCTTAATTAGGGCTTGTTTTGGTGGTAGGGCTTATAGTGGGTGCACATGTAAAAATCTAACTAGGACTTACTTTCGGGGTAGGTCGTATATTAGGGGAAACACAGTACCTAGCGCCATAGCTATGATGTGACTTTCTTTGCTTGCATCCGCTTGATTTCTTTACAGTGGCAATCCCAAAGGTAAGGGCCCCTTCAAGTGCCTTAGTCCTCAGTGAGTTGATCGATAAATCTGTCTGCAGTAGTCAAGGCCATCGAAGTCAACGACGACCTGTCATTGCTTTAGTCTGGCAAGATTCTGTCTGTAGGCGAGGAACAATAAAAAGGACATTCCTCCAAAGTAACTCCGTATTTCTTTCTTGTTCCTGAGGCCTGGTATGTAGTGAGAGAAGGGTGTGTGTGTGTGTGTGTGTGTGTGTGTGATCATTTCAAGTTGAATGGTTGTTGATTTCATACTTCACGGTCTTTTATTTTCTTGAGACTGTGAGTCTCCTTTAACCGAAGTTGAGTTTCAGCGAAAGATGAAAGCAACACCCCATTGAAAAATGAAGTCCTGCATTGCTCTGAAGTCCACTCAAGCTTCACATATTTCTTTATCTTGAAGAAGAAGAAGAAGAAGAAGAAGACAAAGCTAAATCTCAGGACAATAGTGTCAAAATTTAAGTAGACACTCCTGAGAACATGGCAGAATGCTGTGATGTTCCTGGAAATTGCCAGCTTCTTTGAAAGCTCAGGGATCTGCAGCTATTTTTGCATCTCCCTCGTGTTCTTTCTACATGCAAGCAGTTTGTCCTTTGACGACTGACGGATCTCTCTACCTTATTTATTTATTTCTTCACAAAGGGGCTGCCACCGCTTTGTTTTTTTATTTGATTTCCCCCTCCCTGTCTTAGAATAATAAGATTTTGTGGTCCTTTGTACAGTCACTGATTTCCTTCCTTCCTTCCTTTTTCTTTCTTGAATGGTCCCTGCTCTGCTGTAACCATTTCTAATAGCCTTGCAGTTTACCTATGCTGAATTTAAACTCTGAACTGTTCCTTTTTTTTGCATTAACTGATAATGTAGCAGCTTTCTGAAAGCCTCAGCGTGTGCCAGCTCACATCCTCTCTCTTTAAAAGAAAGGTCATTGGCTTGCTATTATGTTGAAAGACACACAAGTCATTTCCATTTTGGTTAGATGCGGGCGAGCATTTTACCTGTGTATGTAAGGCCCACCTCTGGCTGCAGAATGACAAGGCCAGTGACTCATTCATAGAAGAGCCAGCCTCTCTTGACGGTTCCAACCTTTATGCCTAGAACATAGAATAAAATGTTTGGAAGGGACCTTGGAGGTCTTCTAGCCCCCCTGCTCAAGCAGGAGACCTTACACCATTCTGGACAAATGTCCAGTCTCTTCTTAAGAACCTCCAGTGATGGAATGCCCACAATTAATCAGGTTCCACTGATTAATTCCACAACTAGAGTACTGCATCCAGTTTTGGTCACTACACTATAAAAAAAGATGTTGAGACTCTAGGAAGAGTACAGAGAAGAGCAACCAGGATGATGAGGGGACTGGGGACTAAAACATTTGAAGAACGGTTGCAGGAACTGGGCATGGCTGGTCTAGTGAAGAGAAGGACCAGGGGAGACAGGAGAGCAGCCTTCCAATATTTGAAGGGCTGCCACAGAGAGGAGGAAGGGGTCAAGCTATTTTCCAAGGCACCCAAACACCAGACAAGGAATAATGCATGGAAACTGAACAAAGAAGATCAACTTGGAAATAAGGAGAAATTCTCTGACAGTGAGAACAATCAACCAATGGAAGAGAAGTTGCCTTTAGAAGTTGTGGGAGCGTCATCACTGGAAGCTTTCAAGAAGAGATTGGACTGCCATTTGTCAGAAATGGTGCAAGATCTCCTGCTTGGGTGGGGGTTGGACTAGATGACCTACAACGTCCCTTCCAACTCTGATTATCTGTTACCTGTTAATTGTTCTCCCTGTCAAGAAATTTCTCTTTAGTTCTAGGTTGAATCTTTCTTTAATCATCTTCCATCGGATGGGATGGGATAGGAAGGGAAGGGAAGAGAAAGGAAGTGAAGTGAAGGAAAGGGAAGGAAAGGAAAGGAAAGGAAAGGAAAGGAGAATAGAGTAGAGTAGAGTAGAATAGAGTAGAGTAGAGTAGAGTAGAGTAGAGTAGAGTAGAGTAGAGTAGAATTGAATTGAATTGAATTGAATTGAATCGAATCGAATTATGATTGAGGAATTCACAAGGAATTTATCTCCAGTTCATAAAGCTCTCAGTGTACATACAAGCAAAAAGTGATAAATCATGATCATAATCATCATTAAAATACATTTATCAGAAATCATAAGATACAATACTTAGTGATAGGATACTAAATAAGCAATCAGCCTATATCATAGGATACTAAATAAAGCAATTAATATAAATCGCAAGATACAAGCAACAAAGTTATAGTCATAAGAAGATAAAGAAATAGGCAATAGGAAAGATGAGAAGAACAATAGTAATACCAGCCTTACTAGATAGTTTGACAGTGTTGTGGGAATTAGTCGTTTAGCAGAGTGATGGCACAGGGGAAGAAACGTTACGTCTTGTTGTGCTCTCTGGAGCTTTTTCCTTCTTCTTTGTGACAGGCCTCAAGGTACTGGAAGACAGTTATCATCTCCTCTCTAATCTTTCTCTTTGA